TTGCCAAATCACAATGCCAGGCCGCTTGTCCCTTCCTCTCTTGTCTCTTTGTATGAAAATCCCAAATGAGTCACACAGAGTTGTCATTCCAGGCAACATCTCATGTATTTGCAGCTCATATTTAATCAACTGTGTTATTCCGTAAACTAGGAAGCTTATTATTTAGCTTTTGTCTCTCTGTCGATATGGAATGGACAGATTACTTTTTGCAGACCTTAACTCATGAGTGCGTTTCATCATTATTCGCAAAGACTGTCAAATCTTAATGTGAATAAATAGATTAACTGAATATTTTGCAAGTATCATTTCGGATTTTTGAAGTGATGTATAGTCATCTGTTAGCTGCAGCTGTCAGCTGCAGATGTGAAAAGAGGGAACAAAACACATTATATATTTATTTTCCATCGTTTTTGGACATTTTGTGGCTGTACAACATTCTCAACCTGGCTTATATTCATTAAAATACACTCACAGTCCACTCACATGGCAGCAGCTCAGTGCATTAAGGCGTGCCGACATGGTCAAGATGACCTGCTGAGGTTCAAACTGAAAGGTGGATTGGTGCCTTTGGATATGGCATGGTAGTTGGTACCAGACGAGCTGGTCTGAGTGTGTCACTCCACCTCCAGGGTTTGCAGAGAATGGTCTGAAAGAGAGCCAATCTAGTGTAGTATACTGGATGAAAATGTTTTATTAATGGCAGAGGAGATTAGCCAGTTTGTGTCAAGCTGATGGGAAAGCAACAGTAAGTCACATAACTGCTCTTTACAACCATGCAGCATCTCTGAACACACAAAACAGTAAATCTTGAAGCAGAAGAGCACACTGTGTGCCACTCCTGACAGCTAACAATAAACTGAGGCTACAATTCACACTTCCTGGTCTGAGTTTTGATGCTGTGACAGAATTTAACAACATGAAAGCATGAATCCCTCCTGCCTTGTTTCAACAGTTCATGCTGTTGGTGGAGATGAAATGGTGTGGGCCCTTTAGTACCAACTTGGCATCCTTTTAAAAAAACATGACACTGAGTTCACTGTACTCAGATGACCTCCAAGGTCACAAGCTCTGAATCCAATAGAGCACCTCTGGCATGTGGTGGAATGAGAGATCGGGATTAAATCAACAACTGTGCGATGTGATCATGTCACTATGGACCAGAATCTCAGAGGAATGTTTCCAGCAGCTGTTTGAATCTGTGTCATGTAGAATTAAGGCAACAATATCCAACTACAAGTAGCAAGGTGTGTCTAGTAAAGGGTATTATCTAGTATACTATACAACCTTGGGCCATTAAATTGTACCAACACCAAAATCTTTAAGAAAGTAGATCACATAACATTTCTTTTCAGTATTACAAAGACTTCTTCTGGCTTTTCTTTTTCTTTCTTTTCATTTTTTCTATTATTTTCCATCATTTCTTTATTTTCCCCCCCTCCGCATCTCAAAACTATTTAATTTAGAGCACTAGTGGCTCTCTGGAGAGAACATTACGTCACCCCGGCAACCCCCCCACCCCAATACCCAGGGGCTTAAAACCCGCCTCCCCAGAGCTCCTATTGGTGAAGTAACTGAGATATTTTCATAGATACATCTTCACATTTTCCGACCAATCACATAAAAGAAGAAATGTATACATTTTTTTTCTATTTAATTAGACTGAAGAAAAAAAAAAGTTCCCCCACAATAAGCCCCAGATTCCTTTCTAATGTCTGACTTCGCAAAAGTTCAACTTTGTTCATTTTGAAGTTGTTCATTGCTGACTGCGACCTTTTAAAAACCTCCAGTTAAACAGATATGATGATGTTTGCCTAAATTCCAGACATTTAGCCTGAAACCTTATGCTACTAGTGTACTGAAGTTCCCCATTTCAGACACTAGAGGGTGCAATTGTACCACTGTGCCTGCAAGTTTTATCTATTACACAAAGAGGATAAATTGGAAAGTATTCACCCACATAACAGCTCAGATTGGTCTGCCTTTGTTCTGCGGATAAGCACGGAGAAAATGCGAGGAGAGGCAGCTGGAAAGAAATGTCAGGATGGGAGGTTTAAAAACGTGAAAGCCGGTAAGAGCGTGTTTCTTTAAGAGACAGCGTCTTCACGAGGAGAGAAACGATTGGAGGTCGTCAAGCTTCACAGAAACAGCAGGAAGGGAGGCGGAAAAGCTCGAGTTTGTCTTTAATATAAACCTCTTTGAAGCGTTCATTTTGTTCAGTCACGGCTCATTTTTTCCCCACAGAGCAACTTTATAATAACATATTTATTATTTCCGAGGGGCAAAAAAAG